CTGTCCCCCTGCCCCACACATGCATGGCTTCCCCCACTATCAACATCTATCACCCACCAGCCACAGCTGATGGTAGGATTCACTGTTAGTGTTGTACATCCTATGGGTTTGGATGAATGTACCTCCTGGTTTACACACATTTACTTGTATGGTCATGAAAAGGGAAGCATATCATTTCCTGCTATTGAGACCAAGAATTAGTGGTTTTTATTAAATATGTGTTGCATTGCATGCGTGCTCAGTCATGTCTGACACTTTGCAACCCCATGGACTATAACCCACTAGGCTCCTCTGTCCACAGGATTTTCCAGGCAAGAAGACTGGAGTGGGTTGCCATTTCCTTCTCCAGTTTATTAAATATAAACTTTGAGAAGGGTCTGTGTTATTTAAAAGAAAGTCCTTTGTTTAATTCACTTCTATTCCCACCCAACAAATCCCACTCTCAAATTTTTTTTAAAAAAGGACAGGAGAGAGAGGCATTGATTTGTGCACTTACCTCCTAGGCACGGGAACCTGGCCTGGCTACCACCATCCCCGGGCCTCTCAGCACTGTTGGCTGTCTGGATTAGGTCTGGGGTGAAGGTCAGTGGTGAAATGGTTGCCTTCTTTTTGCAGAGCATGAGCAGTTACAGCTTGCCCTGCTTGTTGATCATTAACCAGGTGGGGGCCTTTGTTCCAGGCACAGGTGATGGGCAGGTGTGATTAAGGTTATTCTCTTAAGCACCTCGGTCGTCATTCATTTTCAGCCTTGCAGCTTCTCACAATGCCTGGTCCTGATGGAGCCGTCAGCTTGCTCCGAGACATCAAAACTCAAACCCTTCTCAGCTTTCCTCCCGACTGTATTTCCTATACCCACCTGCCCTGGAGCTGAGGCCAGGCATGCTGTTTTGAAATAGTAGTGAAATTTACAGTGGGGAGTAGTTAATGTATGTTAGCTTCAAGGAAGCAGACACTCCTGAGAGGGTCTTGGGGGCCTTAATAAAGCATTTCAAGGAAGCAGAGTATCGAATTTATGCTTTTTGTGCTAAAAACATTAAGGTATTTAAATGTGTTATTCTAATCCCTCTTGCAGCCTGGGAACAGGAGGATCCTATATCTTTTATTTAAATCCCAGCCTTCCTCGACTGCACCTAGTATAGGAAGAAACAGACGCTAACCAGTCGACTTCAGTGAATATAAAACTCAGTGTCATTCACAACATACAGCCTAGTAAAGTTTTTATAAAATGCGGTTACCCAGATCTTAATCGATTTGACACCAGTTGGTGTCGATGTTGGGTTTTCAGAAGCCAGCCTCCTGTCTGAGCGCCTCTTGAGTTGCTCTGTGATAAAATTGTCATGGACACAAGTGCAGATGATAAATCCTGAACCCACAAGCCGGGTATCCTGATTTCAAAGGGAGCCGTTTCTCAGTTGCAGAGTAAGCTGATCTTCAGCCAGGGTGTCCTCCCTTCACCAAGAGCACTTCTAAAAGCCCGAGTTACCCAGGCAGCATTTATGGCCCTGGTGCAGGATCAGGTTATAAGGGTTTTGTTCTCTTAATAAAGAAGATCAGGTTCCCTCTGACTCGCGCTGTGGGATGGCTAGTCTGTCCCCCCGGAGGCTGGGGAGCAAGATGGGCCATTAGCGGGCAGGTAGTCACTGAGGTCAGTGATAAATATTAATAGATGGCCTCATCTCCACATCAGGTGATAGCATCCTTCCTTTTAAAATTCCTGTTTATTGAGGAAACTTTCAGCATTTGGAATCAAGATGTAGAGGCCGTATAAAGATGACCTCAAGGACCAGAAAATCTCGTCTTGAAATTTTTCATTCTTAAACCTTGGGTAATGCATCCCAGTGAAAGTGACCGGGCGAGTTTGTTTTTCAAGGTCCAACACTAAACGTAGGAGAATCAGGACTGTATTTTGTGCAATGTGTGTGTGTGTGTATGTACAGCTCTAAGATAGTCAGGGACCCCTCCAAATTTTATATGATTACTAAATATTAAATATTGAATGAGGTAAATGAACCTTTTAAACAACAATGATATTATCAGTAGAAAAGGTTGATGTATTGTTATAGCAATCAGTTTATATAAATAGTATTTTTTAAAAGCCTCTCAAGTTCTTTTTTTGCTTCTATCCTCCCCCCTTCCTCCTTTTGCCCCCTCCCTCCCCTTCCTCCCTCGTCTCCTTTTTGTTAAGAGTTTGAAGATGGGCTCAACTTTAGCTTTTGAGAGTTGACTTCTACCTGAAGTGTCTTGTCTGGAGCGTGGAATCATTTTTACTTACCAATTATGGAAAATGAATATTTAGGCCATGTTGAAAATCATCTTTGTACCCATAGGATGCTGCAGAAATGTTACATTTTCTGCAGTTTGAATTTAATATTGCCCACATATATGTGTTAAGTTCCTAAAGTGACTGTAGAATTGTCCCAGCAGGATATAAAGCAAGATGACAGGGCACCTGCTTGCTTCCCCCTCAGCCCCCACATAGCCAGATTTGTCACATTGTGCCCAAAGCACACACTCAACCTCCACTGTCGTCAGAAGAAGACTGCCTTATGGCTGAAGCTGGCAAAATACAGGAAATGTTATCAAAACGTGTGCATTTCAACCATACCAAAATAAGTAATGGTGCTGGCACATCTGAGCTCTCAGCTTCATTTCTTGGCAAATCCAGTGGCATGGTGGCCTGTGTGTCATAGCATTGGCTGGCCAGCATCAGGGTTCATCGTTAATTCATGCAGCTGTTTGTCATCAGTAATGAGATTCCGCATTTTATTTAGTCAGCAAGTTCAGTGCTTATCCTACTGGCCTCTGCGTTGATCGTTATTAGCAATGCGAAGGCGCTCAAGTGTTGGAGATTTCAATAGCGTGTGATTTCAGACTGAAATCCTTGTGCAGAGAGCAAATACCCGGTGAAATGCTTAAACAGACCTTGTTTGGGGGACTTGCACCACCCAACATCCTGAGAGTGTTTGTAGAGACTTGGTGAGCCAGTGTCTGCTCTGCCCTCCAAGTGCTTGTTTAAGATGATACTCAGGGCCTCACCATCGGCTTATCATAGTCAAAGCACAGTGATGGAGAGAGGCCCGGGGTGGAGGGGTGGGGGAGTGGAAGAGACCAGGCTTACGTGCTAGCCTGTCCCAGGAGAGCCCTACGAGAGGCCAAAGAGCTCTGGCAGCTATATGTCAATAAGAGCTGTCACAAAAAGCCTGTAGTAAGTCTATAATGTTTCCAGGGATGTTGGCAGAAAACAGAAATCAAGACCCTTGGCTTGTTTAGTCAGGAAGCTTGTAAACAGTGTCCGTTCCTGGACCACAGGCAGTGGGGGGAGGGGGTGCTTTTATCTACTTCCGGGGGTGCCAAGTTTAGATCTTACAGAGGCGTCTGGTCATTTTCTGAATGCTTTCATTCGCCACGTTTCTAGGTCTGTTACTTATACGGAAGTTAATGTAGTTTTGTGTAGGTCGAAGAGTATTTTTTCCCCTGTTATCCATAGTATGGCTAGAGATGTAATTAATCTTAGAAGCGTGATTGTGGTAGTTAGTCCCCATGGATTGAAAGTCCACGGTATGAATCGTTGGATTAGCAGTGAGGCCGGGGTGAGGGCCAGGCAGGATGAGGAAGGAAAGGTGAACGAGACAAACAAACACACCCCACAGAAAGGATGTGCTCAGTCACACTGAGTATATATTAATTAGGGTTCATAGAAGTGAATACAATTGAGAGACGTGCTGGTGGCCCCCCTTGTGGTCTCTTATCCTTCCTGCTCTTTTATGAGGTCAGAGAAGGAATAGTAACTTCAGTCCTATGGCATTTTGAAGGAAACCTCTCCTTTTATATTACCAATCAGATGTGGTTTTGAAATTTTTTCAACTTTTATTTTATATACAATGTTGTGTTAGTTTCCAGTGTCCAATAGAGTCAAACATGACTGGAACAACTTAGCACACACGTACCATATACTAGTCATTTTGAAAAGTAAAAGTGAAAGTGTTAGTCGCTCAGTCGTGTCCACTCTTTGTGACTCCATGGACTGTAGCCCACCAGGCTCCTCTGTCCATGGAATTCTCTAGGTAAGAACACTGGAGTGGGTAGCCATTCCCTTCTCCAGGGGATCTTCCTAACCCAGGGATCAAACCTGTGTCTCCTGCATTCCAGGCAGATTCTTTACCATCTGAGCCACCATGCTTTATTATCTGATTTTATACTCTGAACAAACACTTCATCATAACTGATGGTGCTGTGTTTTGGACCCCATAGATTTATACTGCTCTTTCCCCCAGGTGGGCTATGGAAAAGAGCCCACTTTCTTTGACTCTCCATGGAAATAGCCCCTCTCAGGTACAGGTTGCACACCATCTCCTTTGGGGCCGGGCTTCTACAAGTTCGGTGTCAGTGGACCTTCTGTCCTGGGTCTGCCCGTCCTAAGCCCTTCTGCCTTGGCTGCCCTTTAAACGCTGCCTCCATCTCCAGGATGGAGATGGAGACCTCTTTCTTCTTTCCTCTCACACTAGTCCTCTTTTCTGCACTTCTCAAGCCCTGCCAATTTTTCATTCTCTTTTCTGAAAGCAGGTTTTGTAGAAAATTCCCTTGCCCGTCCTAAGTTACGTATGATGGACGGCAAAGCAAAACGAATCTGTGCTAGTTTTCTGATTTATTGGGAAGACCTATCCCAAGACCTCTGTGAGCATCTCAACTGCCTTTATCATCTGGGAGGGCAGGCATGCCCCAGAGGAGTTTGCACGTACGGCTCCCGCCCGGTGGTGTGATTACTGACAGGCTGTGTTTTGCGTTAGCTTGAGTTGTGTATTTCATTTGTGAAGCTGGCACATACTTGAAAGCCGCAAGCTACTGTTTTCTGAAAGCTTCTTTGCACATGAGCCTAAAACCGTCTGTATTGGATTTGGAAATTATCCAGTAACTGCCCTTTTAATGCAGCGAAATGTAGATTACAGCTGTTTCCTCTGGAAGGCCGTGTAGAGTCCTAACTCGTCTCTCTCCTCCTCCAGGGTGTCTCCCCTGCAGAAGTCGGAGATAGTGGACGTGGTGAAGAAGCGGGTGAAAGCCATCACCCTGGCCATCGGGGATGGTGCCAACGATGTGGGGATGATCCAGACGGCCCACGTGGGTGTAGGCATCAGTGGGAACGAGGGCATGCAGGCCACCAACAACTCGGATTACGCCATCGCTCAGGTGAGCCACGTGGTCGACCAGCTGTCACATGTAGTTGACAGAGTTCGCTGGGCATGAAGGCCAGCTGGCGCTTGACCTTCAGTCCAGTCCTTCAGCCGCCCCTTTGGAGGTGGCGTGGAGGAGAACCCACCAGTATAGCTGGGTTTCTCTCTTGGCTTCATCTTGTGTAGTTACGAGGCCCTGTTCTGCGGTTTTGGTTTCTTTTCCGGCTGTGGGAAGGGCCAGGCTTTCTGTCGTCCAGGTGAGAGGTCATTTCCAACAGATGAATCTCTGATTTTATGATAATAGTCTCTTCCCCTCAACCCTGCAACCGCTGCGTGTTCTCTTCCAGTGTCCTCCATGCCCAGGGATGGCTGTGCTTGTAGCACCTTTCTCTGCATCCTCCCTCCTGGCATCTCCCCTCTGCCAGAAGGTGCTGGAACCCTCTGTCTCATGTGGCACGTGAGGCCGGGGGACTCAGTGACTCACAGACACTGCCCTCTTGGCTGTGCTGCAGGGTTGCAGAGCCACTGCTGTTAGGAGCACGAACCCCAGGCTTGGGCAGCAGTCCCCCTGTGGTCAGCAGCACAAAGCTTTTGGCAGTTCGGCCACATCCAGCCCGTTCCTCTCAGGTCTATGCAATTCAGCAGAGGCTCCTGACATACTTAGCATCTCCTGTCCTAGCAGTCGGAGACCAAACGGAATGTCCACTCCTCAATGACAGCCCCAAAGTGAAGGGAAATGGCCAAGCTCCTGCCCCCCTGGGATTTGCATCTAGACCATCTTTGCTGCCTGACCATCTGGGAAATTAAGGTGTCTCAGAGAACACAGACAGTTTCCTCCCATCTCCAGTCACAGTGTGCTGGGATTAAATGCCTGCTTGTTGGCGCGAGTCCCCTCATGTTCCTCCATGTTCAGTCTTTGGGAGAATGCATTAACTTTATCACATGAGCACGAGTAATCATGGCCTTTTCCTCCTTGAAGCTGAAATCTGGGGCTGCATGTTAAGCGTGGAAGAACTTGTTGCAAGCCCAGGGATGCAGACTGGCCTTCTGTATCTTCAAGGCCCCACTTCCCAGAGGGGGACTCTGCTTAGATGCCATCTCAAATCCCCACCACCCCCCACCCACCAGCTAGTGGTTTTGCAAACGCAGAGAATAGCAGGATCCTTATAAGTCCAAAAAGTACATGAAATCCACCTTGTTCCTTTTGTTGATTTTAAATGAATCTTCAAGATGATGACTCACGTAGGTAGGAGAAGGAATTCCGACTTTATAGGAGGGAAAACTGGGCTTCCTTTACAAGAGGTGACCTACCGCGGGTCCCAGCCCCCAGGGTCAGAGAACAGCGGACCTGCACGTGACCTTGGGGAACTAGCCCCACGCACCTGCCTGGTTCCTTTCCAGAGTCGACTGCCCCAAGGCCTATGGGACTCGTGCTTCCTGCAGGCTGTCAGCACCTGGGGATGTTATGCACCCCAGCATTATTAAATACTTGAGTTATAGCATCATATGGCTGGCAGGGGTCTTCAGAGGTTTCCTAGGAGCTCCAGGCAAATATTTTGTCTTTTTCTTGCAAATGTCGAGGGAAGGGAGATTCCGTGACCTGCTTTATTGAAACCGGACTAATAGGATGTGGGATCTGGAGCAGTTGGTCTCTTCAAATTAAAGGCAAATCAAAATGACAAGGAAATCAAAACTAAAGGGCAGATACAGAGGGAGGCAGGGCTTTGTGATTCTGTTTGGGGCTTTTCTTGTCCATCCAGCCTACATCACCTGTGCTGGAGGAGCTGATGGACAGCTCCAAAGACTAACAGAGAGGAACACCAGGGGTCTCTAGCCAACAAGCATCCCTGCGTGTCCCTCCCATCCGCCATCCTGTTCAGGTGTAATCAGAGATCCCGTTATTTTGGGTCTGCGTTCTGCTTACCTCATACCCTCCTCACCAGGATGTTTCCTCTGCCATAATTACTAGGTAGGACATGCCACAACTGACTGAGTTCCTTTGGTTGAAGTTAATAAAGTGATAAATGTCTTTGGTCAAAGTTCATGCCTTAGCACTTGATCTGTTTATTTTAATGTGGATGAGCATATTTTTGACTGGATTCTTGAGAACGTGCCCTGGAAAGTTATATCCAGAAGGAAAGAAAGGTTAGCTCAAAGACTTGTCCTTGGGAAAATTATGAAGTCGGCAAGCCCTGGTTCTGTTTCTCCCCAGCTGGCCTGTGCTGTGTCTACGGGGTGGCCCCAGGCTGCCGGCCGGCCCGCTGGGGCCTCACTGTGCAGGGCCAGCCCGTGTCGTGTTGTGTCTCCAGCCTTCCGCTGCCTGTTCTCCTTGGAGAGAGTCATTTCTGCCCCCTGCCTCCTTAATGTTTTTTGAGCAACCTCATGAAAACAGCATTTTGATTTAGGATTTCTTTGTTTTGTTTTCCGAAAAGAAATCACTGTAGCACTAAGCTAAGGCCTTCTGGATGGTTCCAACAGATGTTCTCTGTACTCGTGGAAGGTTGAACGCCAGGGTGTCCAGGTCAAATACAAACTTCCTCTTTATTTGTTTAGCCATTCCCTTTGGAATCCTTGATGACTCTGTATGGGGAGCTTTATTTCTCCACGTGTACCCATTCCCACCACTCCAGAGTCTCATTCAGCTTTTGGAGCCACACGTAGACAAGCCACCTGCAGAAACTCACCCAGATGTGGTTCGCGTGGCTTGAGCTCCTGTCCTTGGTGTTAACACCAGCTATTGTGTGGCCTCCTCTCGAAAAAGTGTTTAAAAAATACTGTATCTTTGGCCAGTCTTTCTTTTCTGTAGATGGTTAAATGTAACTTCAAAAGTAACCTAAAGTTAATAGGAAGTTGACAACAGCAGAACTCCTAGTATCTGTGCATGGTCCTCTCTCGTGGGAGAGTGATGGATTTGAGTTTGTGGGCTGCCCTGCGACTCAGAACAGGAGGTGACGTTTTAGTTCAAGGCAACCAAGGAGGACTCAGTGCCAGGAGAGGCTAATTGAATACATAGGAACTGTGAAGTGAAGCAGGATCACCCCTAATGATGCATACTGCCAGAACACGCCCAGACTATGACCCCAAAAACAGCCCATCTCCCTCCCTCTGGCTCCTTGTTCACACTTTTGGGGGCTTTTGTGAATTAGGACCCAGAAGACAAAGCCAGGCTAAAGGGAGGCTGAGGAGATAGGATTGGAGTGGTGTCCAAAGACCCCCTGCCCCGAGGAGGATTTGAGTATTTTATTCGAATATTGTTGAATATTTCAGACTGCAAGAGCTAAGCCATTACATCACTCTCAACTTGGTGTCAGCTGCATGTTGATGTTTTATTTGGACGGATGACTACATCACATTTCAGCAAGAGGGGCTCTTACTTGTTGGAGACCAGAAAAAGGGGAAGAGGATGGGTCTAGAAGTGGAGGGCAGAGTATATGTCTCTCTGTGTGTGGAGTGTCATTGTCTCACATCTGCAGGCTGACAGTGGAAATAGGAACAGGTAGTGTCTATATGCGCATCCCTCTTCTTAAAAGGATACAGGTGCATGACAGTCCCTGTCCCTTGCTCCTGTTGTCATTACAAAATTGGTGATTGAATAGAAGCATCTTATTTCACTGCTCTTTTCTTCCAATTTTGGTTGGTCACCTCCTTTTAATAATTAATATCCTAAAAGCATTAGAGTAAATAGAACTTCACAAGACAGCAATCTGAAGTCTAGCTGTGTGACTGGGGAAAATCACAACTCTGTAGCTTAAAGAGGAGATCTTAGACCTTCTCACCTGGCCTGAAAGCTGCCCCTAAAGCGAGTGATGTTCTTGGTCACCAGCAGAATCCGGGTTCCTCCACTCCCTTGCCCGTCTTCTCCTCCGAAGGACATTCCAGACCCTCTTTCTTTCCTTTTTCAGTTTTCCTACTTGGAGAAGCTCCTGCTGGTTCACGGTGCCTGGAGCTACAACCGGGTGACCAAGTGCATCCTGTACTGTTTCTACAAGAACGTGGTTCTCTACATCATTGAGGTGAGCACGGCTGGCCCCTTCCTTCAGGAGGAGGGTCCTCATCAGAGGGACCTTAGGTGACTTCAAGGAAGGGTTTTGTTCACGGAATACTTAAAAGATGTTCCCCTGATGTGTGGAGCCTCTTTGAAGCTGGGGACACCTTCCAGATCTAGTTTCGCTGGACCAAAAGTCAGGCGTCCATGGCTGCCTTCTGCCTTCTCTCTCCCTGATGGACAGACGGACAGGGCAAGGCCCTCTCCTCTGCATGGCCCTCCTGCTGTCACTCACACCCTCCCCCACCCCCCAGTGGCGGGAGCCTGGGCGGCAGATGTTGGCACCTGGCGTGGTGGGCGCTGAGACGTTCCTAAGCAACCCAGCCTGGTTTTTCTTCACTGAATGGAAGGGTTTCTTGCTGGATTTCTCACAGACTCCACAGGCTTCCTAAGCTTTTGGTTCTTGCTTCTGGGACATGTGGATGTTGCTGCTTTAGCCGGGAGGATGTGGGATTGAGTGGGGAGAAAGCCAGGAACATAATTAAAAATGTCTCAATGAACGCATTGAGTCGCCAGCCTGTTTTTCAAGACGCAGATTCGGTTGTAAGTGAAATACGCATGCTGGTTGGAGGGACCGGCGGGGCAGAGGTGCTGGCCCAGGGACGAGTGGAAAAGACACTTCAAGTTCCGCTCCGATGGGAGCACCAGCCACCTCGTTCCTCCTCCTTTGGAGCAGCTCTACTGTAAAGGTGTGGCCATCATGACTAAGAGATTTCCAGACGTGTTTAGGAAAGAGGCAACAGGCAGTCACTCTGGGGAAATAGGGAAGCAGTGGTCATTGTGTGTGGTGCAGGTTATTTTGTGTCTGGTTTCTCCACTCTTGGCAGAAATAATAACTGAGGCATAGATCCACTGTTTCTGATGTGGCCCCTGAAAAGGCTCAGCTCAGATCGTGGACATGGGGTTTGCTAGTGGAACTGCAGTTAACTGTTTCTTAACCAAATCATCTGATCCTTCCTGTTGAAGAGTCAGCTCAGACCTAGAGGTTTGCATCCCTCCCTCTGTAGCCAAACTCCTACCAAGCAGTTTCCCCAAGTTGCACAGGTTGTTCACTGCACAAGGCTGCCCAGCCAAAGCAGCTGAAACATAGGAAAACCTAGAAGAAGGGATACATTTTCTTACCCCTACAAAGAGCAGCCCACTTGCCTCATCTGCTTGTCTGGTGCTGCTGTGTTCAACTCCGCCCTTTCTGAGTAAGAACTTTCAGATGTTATCCATCATAGATGCTGTGGTTTCTGTCTTCTTTCTGTCCACATTCTTACAGTTCCCTTTGGGTGCTTAAAGATGTTTGCCAGCCCCCTCCCCACAGCCTTTTCTGCATCTGTAGCAGGAGTCCCTCCTGAGTGTCACTCGGGGTCACAGATAATTGGTGCTGTGGTCTGGGGCCAGGATCACTGAGGCCCTGGTGTCAGCAAGTTCCCACATGTCAGCATGTCTCACGTGCATGTTCATCTCTTGGAGCTGCTGGCTTCAGAAGCTTGCTCAATAATCTGGTTTTCCTCATGATCAGCACATTACAGATAGTCTAGACTTCTTATCAGAACCGTCCCCAAGGAGCCCCAACCCTGGAGCTTTCCAGAGCTTCCTTGGGGGCCCTTCTTAGTCATTGACACCTACTATCTTGGCTTTTTCCTTTAAAAAAAAAAAGAAAGCTTCCAGTGAGCTGACTCTGAGACGAGTACAATTTCAGTCTGTCTGAAAAATTCTGTTTGGCAGGCTTTCAACTCTGAACGTGCCAGGCAAGTTCCTTACATTAATATTGGCTATTGTGGCTGAGCAGCAGGGGTTAAACAGTCTTGCATAATCAGGCTTTTAAAACATTCTATATAAAATACAGTGTCTCCACCGCTCTGTGCCCAATTTTCTCCTTGGTATGGCTGGGTGATCTTCATTTTGAAATAGGAAACGAAATCCTTCCTCAGCCCAGACAGAGCACTGACTCAGACTGCATCTGCCATTGCTACATAACCTTCATGGCATCAGTGGGTGCGCTTCAAGCATAATTCAAACACAGGAAAGTACTATGTGCATGCTGTTTTAGTGTATTTTGAGCTGAAAGATCAAAGATGGTATAATTTGATTTGTTCATTTGCAATCAAAAGTTTTGCATTCTAAGTAAGGGTTACCTTGTAGCTAATTATTTATGTGAGAATAAATTACATATATTGTGTATTTTTCTTAAATGGTTTTCTTGTAATTCAAGAAGAAACTGCAATATCCAGGACGTTCTCATCTCAGATGCCCTCTGATACATGTAACTGTCACTTAAAAATACAAACTTGAAATAATTTGCCAACTAAAAAAGACATCAATACAAAGGTGTCATGCATGTACACACACGTATCTAGCCTTAGTCATTAGTAGGAGAATCATTTGTTGTTGTTTAGTTGCAAAGTCATACCCAACTCTTTATGACCCCATGGACTGTAACCTGCCAGGCTCTTCTGTCCATTGGATTCTCCAGGCAAGAATACTGGAGTGGGTTGCCATTTCCTCCTCCAGGGGAACTTCCCAACCCAAGGATCAAACCCATGTCTCCCGCATTGCAGGCAGATTCTTTACCACTGAGCCACCAGGGAAGCTACCATGACTTGAATTACCAATAAAGGTGTTAGACACAGGAACCCTTAACAAGTTTGAAGAGAGTAGTTGAATTCATTCACTCATTTGTTGCCAACAATTTGGAGCACCCATGCTCTAAACTCTATGCCAGGCAGTGGGACTGCTCAGATGTATGTTTCAGAAAGCCCATCCTGCCTGCATTAGAGATGCTTGAATGGGCAGACATCACTGTTTTAAAGTATAATTAATACACCATAAGATATACCATTTCTTGGTGTACAGTTCCATGAATTAAAACAGGGTTTTTATCATTAGAAACTAACTGGCAGTTTTCTGTCTGCCTCTCACCGATGATGACAAACAAATATGTCACAGAGAGTCCTGTGGATGGACGATAATGGTTGCAAAACAGTGTGGATGTATATGGTGGCACAGTGGTAAAGAGCCTGCCTGCCAACGCAGGAGACAAGATGTGGGCTCGATCTCTGGGTTGGGAAGATCCCCTGGAGGAGGAAATGGCAACCCACTCCAGTTTTCTTGCCTGGAGAATCCCATGGACAGAGGAGCCTGGAGAGCTACAGTCCATTGGGGTCACAAAGAGTCGGACATGCACGACTGAGCACACATGTGTGAATGTATATACTAATATCACTAAACTACACGCTTGGAAATGGTTAAGATGGTGAACTTTGTGTGAATTTTGCCACAATTTTTTGCTAAAATGTTAAAGAATGTCACAAGCATTTGGCTGCTTTAGTCACATTGAGGGGAAACCAGAAAAATGCGCATCAGCTTATTGCAGGCTTGAAAGACAACTTTACACTTTGTTTTTTTTTTTCCATTTATTTTTATTAGTTGGAGGCTAATTACTTTACAATATTGTAGTGGTTTTTGCCATATATTGACATGAATCAAACCAAGCAGATGCTGAGTTTAATGGCTGTGACCAGATGGATCATACTTAGAAGGAGAAACCTTGTCATGGGGCTGGCTTGGGAGAGGGGTGGCTTCACAAGCTGGCCAAGCAGGTGGGACCCCGATCAGCCAGTTGGAGGGGAGTGTGCCCTGTGTGTCTGCATTCAGGGCAGGAAAAGAAATGGAATTTGCAGAAGCAAGAAGGGCATGGGTGGCCACTGGAGTGGCCAGAGGAAGGGCCTGAAAACCAGACAGGAGCTTTGTTGCTCTTGGAGGCTGGGATTCGTTTTTCATTCTGGAATAGGCATGTTCCACAGTAAATGCAGCTTCAGAAAATGTGTCTGTCAGTGTGGCAGGCAGATGGTAAGCAGAGACCTTTAACATACTTCTGTAGTTTTAACCTGGGGCATGAATCCTGGCCATCATGATGGTGAGCAATTGGTGGTTCCTAATACAGAGAATAACCATGACATACAGATATCGAGGTGAAAAAAAAATAGGAATTTTTATACCACTTAGAGTGAGTGCCTACTTATTTTTGGCACCATATATAAGAAATTTTAATGTTTTCTTGGGGTCGTTAAATTGGTATGGGATATGGGCCAGGAAATGGGATGCAGATTAGCCTGGTGGTCTGGAAATATTATCACCAAATGAGAAATAGAGATTTAAACTATTGCATTTTGGGATCGTGGTAAAGAACCCTCCTGCCAACACAAGTAGATGTGAGACACACAGGTTCGATCGCTGGGTTGGGAAGATCCCCTGGAGGAGGGCACGGCAATCCACTCCAGTATTCTTGCCTGGAGAATCCCACGGACAGAGGAGCCTGGTGGGCTACAGTCCATGGGGTTGCAAAGAGTTGGACATGACTGAATCGACATAGCACGCCCACACGGGATCCAGATGAGCAAGACAGAGCCCTGGCTCTTGGAGTCGAGTGAGGGAACAGAAAGAAGAGCACCCACCACTCAGACGACTTCCAGGAAGACACTTGCAATGAGATCTGTCAGAGGCGTGCTTCACATCCAGGGAGGGTGGCAGCCTCCAGGTCCTAGGGCGAAGCAAGTCAACACCGGGAGGATGAGGAGGGGCTGGAGGGGAAGGTTAGACCCATGTGCCAAGGGGAGCCCACACCTGCCGTTTCCATCCCATGCCCTATTTATTCCAGCTCTGTAGAGAAGTAATACAAGTAAACAATAGGGGGAAAGTACATTTTGTTGGGATTTTATGTTTTGGTCAGAAGGCGGCTGCAGAACTAGTTAGACGTGGGCTCAGGACCAGCCTCTCAAAGCCTAGTTGGTTGCTGCTGGTCCTTAGAGCTGGGAGTGTGTTCGCAGAAGGCGAGGGGAGGAAAAAGGGAGAGGAGCGGTCACCAAGCCAGAGAAATCTTAGCAGTCCGGAGGGATCCCCCCACCAGATACCCGAGCACTTTGAACTTTATAAAAATAGACTCTTACTGCTTTTTACAGGTGACAATATATGCTTTTT